TATGTGTTGTTGAATGAATGGTCTAGCTCTAGAAGACCCTGTCTCAAAAAAAAAAAAAAAAAAAAAAAAGTTTTTAAAAGGTAGGAAATCCGATATTTCAAATATTTTCATCCAAATAAAGTTTGTTTTTCCAGAGTGACTCATTTGCCAAGAATTCTGGATAGCTGAAGTTTTACTGTGCTTTGTAGGTTCTCAGTAGGATTCAGTCACTGAAGCTCTACAAATCGCTTAAAATCAAGGTTGTAAATGGGAAATTGTAGGACGTGCTAAAAGCAACCACTTCTCAAAGCTAAGCCCTCCACCGCCTCCACCTGCTCCCGTTCCCGTCACAGTCAAGCTGATGCCAGGTGGTCCCACTCCGTCCCTGCCACCTCTCCTCCACCCGATCCCAGAACCCCTGCGTCCCCGCTGCTGCCCTCAGCACGCCACACGAAATGCTCTAGCAAGGCCTGAGCAGGGACCCCGTGCTCTGGACCTAGCGGACTCTTCTCAATCCGGCCTCTGCCACGACAAATGCTGCCGACATCCACCCGCTCACCCACCCGTCACTGAGGCTGCCCCTCTCCTGTGCCCTGAGCCCCTCCAGCGCTCACTGCTTCTCTCCCTGTCCCTAGCTGCTCCCTTTGCTACTCCCTTGCCAGCTGCTCTCCCTCCGTGGCCCCTGAAGTTAAGCCCCAGGGCTTCCCCCTCACTCGGGGTTTCCTGCCCAGGTCCCTGGCTTCAGGCACATCACTGCGTGTGGTGCCCGAGTCTCTCCTTCCAGGTCAGAATGAGTGTCTTTCTCTGCAGGGGACATCTCTGCTTGGATGTCACATGTCGCTAAGGGCCCCAGACATCCCACCTCAACTGAATTCCTCTTCTCCAGCCCCCTCCTATCGTCCTCCAGGCCTCGGTCTCACCGACGGCGCCACCCTCACCCTACCGGAGTGGAACTGCCCCACTTTTCCCACTGCCTACCTCTTCTCACCCCTACCTCCGGCCAGCAGCAAGCTCTGAAACCTGCTCTTGCCACTGTCATAATTAGTTACCTGGTTTCTTAATCTCCCTGAGCCTGTTTCTTTATCTGTAAAATACGGACATAGTAGTATCAACATACACCTCCAAGAGTTGTTGGAAGTCACACAAGGTAACACAGCTAAGGCGCTGGAACAGGGCCCGGCAGCCAGTGCAATGTCAGTCGTGCTCACCCTCGCCACCCTGCTTCTCCAGCCGGGCCGCCCATCACCCCCGCTCAGCTGCCCGCAGCCTCCCGCTGTCCTGCAGACTGCAGCCGGAATGATCTGCAATACACATCTGCACACGTCACTCCTGTGTCCTAAACCTTTGCGCGGTCGAGCTCCTCTCTGGGCCTGCTCCCTGCCCCTCCACCTCACCTGACCCCAGACCACGCCCCTTGGCACCTGAGCCGCAGCCACACCGACAGGCTGCTGCACCTCACCGCCTTGCCCGGGCAGTGCCCTTCCTTTGCCAGGAATGCCCCCTCTCTGTCCCTGCCATCCTCTGAGTGTCCGAGTAGCCACCCTCCGTCTGCTGCCACCTCGGCCCCACTGCTGGGTGCTGGCAGTGGGCGATACCCCACCAGATTTCTGGGCACCAGCTTGAGTCCTGAGAGGGTCCCCCCATCAGTCCATGAGCTCCTCAAGGGTAGGACCTACATCCTGCTCATCCAGGGTAAGCCACTGGCCAGCACCAAGCCCATGGGAAAGATGAGAGCAAAACACAGACGCTGGGAGGGAGAGGGGGAGGGGGGAGGGAGGGGCAACGAAGGAATGGGGCAGGGTGCGGGCAGAGGGCAAGGGCTCCCAGATCACCAGGTGGAAAGAACTGGAACATCCGGGTGCCTGGACCTGCCTTCCCTCAGGGTCCCACCAGGTGGGCCCTGTCCCTCCATTCCTGTCTCTTACACGTGGCCCAGTCCTCTGTGCTGCCTGCCTGGCCCCTGTTGTGACCCCAGGGCCACAGGCGCCACTGCGGGTCTCTGAGCCGACTCTTCAAATCTCCGCCTGCGCGCGGCCAAGTCAGGCTGGTAGCTCGAAGTCAGGCTGGTAGCTCGAAAGGCCAGGCCGCAGTGAGCAAGGATTAACAAACGCTATCAATCAGCTCCCCCACCCAGCCCCCGCCCTACATGTGGCGGCAAACACTCCCCAGTGCTCCACTGCACGACCCCCTCCCGCTCTGCAACTCCAGGACTGTCCCTCTCCCATCTGGGGCCGGCCCTCTGCTTCCCCTCCCCAGCTCCTGCCTCCCTCTTAGCACTTGGACACAATCTGAAGGTCAATGTCCTTTTCTTTGGTGGTCACATTGGCTCAAGCCTCAAAAACAAATCTCCCACATCCTCCTCTAACTCTCCCCTTGCACCATTTCTCAAGGCTGCCAACCCCTCCTCTGGCCACTGTAATCTGGAGTCAGGCCCCTCCCAAACACAGGTGCTGCTAAAGCCAGTGACGCCCTCCGCAAGGTTAAAACCACCTGGCGGCTCAGCCTTCATCTCTGTGCCTTGGGGAAGCAGGGACCCCACGGGCTCCCTCGCCTCTGTGGCATGACACTCTCGCTTCCTCCCTCTGCACCCTGGTGGTCAGCCTGCTCTTCTCGACCTTGCAATGCTAAGAGGTCCTCAAGGCTGGGCCCCGGCCCTGTCTCCTTTATGTGTCCTCCCAAAGTGGCCTCATCCTCCTTGCCCCTGGGGTCGGGCTCAATCCATCTGCGGGAGACTCTGGAATTTGCCTCCCAAGCTTCTGGGTTCCAACAACTGACTCAACACCTCTTGGCAGTTTCAAAGGCACACGTTTAAACTCAGCATGTCCTAGACAGGACTCACGAGCCTCCTGGTCCCCTCGCTCAGCGGGCCCCTGCCACCTCCGCACAGCCACGCTGCCACTCAGGCCTGCTACGGCTCCTTCCCTGGCACGCCAGTCCAACACCGAGCGCAGTCGACTGCACCTCTTCCGTCTCTCCGGGGTCCGTCCACTTCCCACCATCCTCTCTCACCTGGCCAGCCCTCGCGGTCCTCCCTTCAAACCTTCTCTGTAAGTATTTCAGAAATACTTCTCTGACACGTCGCCCTCCTGTTCAAAACCTGCTCGGGCTTCCCCACGCCTCCGCTCGGTGAAAGCCAAGTCCCTGCCGCAGCCATGGCCTCGCCTCTCGGCACTGGGCCGTCTGGACGTCTCGCCCACCTTGTCAGAGTCCCGGGACAGAGCTGCCCGCCCTCCTCCCAGCATCTCTCCCTGCGATGCTGCCACGCCCTGCCGGTGCCTTCTGTCCTTCCTTCCGACCTCAGCTGAAACAGGGCTTCTTCCAGCAAGCCCCCCGCCCCCCACACTCCCGTGTCACGCCTCTCTTTCACAGTACTCGTCTGTCGTCGTCTGTGTGACTGTCTGCCCAACCCTGAACTTCACAGGGTCTATTCCGCTCACCACCGAACCCAGTCCCAGCACACAGCAGGTACTCAAGTATGTGTTGTTGAATGAATGGTCTAGCTCTAGAAAGGTCCGTCTGGCAGCGTGCAGAGGGTGGCCTGGAGGCAAGGAGGCTGCTGCCCAG